TAGATTTATGGAAGGTGGGAGGGAAGAGAGAAAGAGGAACTCTGTGTGTTTGTGTCGCAGGTCAGCCGCGGTTCACGGTCACGGGGACCAACCGCTGGACTAACCTAACGTAACCTGACTCGGCGACCGCAAACTGAATTGCACCCCGTCCGCTCCCTCGACACTCCTCCACCTCGACCGCCTACCGCTCCTTTCTTTCCTCTCAAACCGATCCTCGTTCCTTCCTCTTCCCTCTTATTCTTCCATTTGTCCACTAGCGAGCCTCCCACTCCCTCCAGCGGAATGCATTTAATTTATTAAGATGCTGAAACCCCCCCGGGCCACCGACCCCAGACTTTGCAATAGCGCCTGGTCGCTTATTTCTTTTTTTTTTCTCTCTCTCTCTCTCTCTCTGTCGATAATTACAATACGAGACTCGCGGACCAAGTTCTAGGAAGCAAAGGCTGACTCCAGTCGCCTGCTTGTCCTCGAGACACGATGAGTTCTTGCGGTGCGGTGGAGGAAATGGGATGGATTTGGATTCGTTCAAATTCTCTTTTTTCGAGTCGAAAATAAATTGTTATGATTTTTAAATTCTTATTCAGGTTAGTATTAATTTCAAATTAATTATTAAATATATCTATATGAGAGAATTATATATCTAATATTTATATCACAATATATCTAAACTAAGACTTAACGTTCAATGTGAACGGGATATATAACAATCGTTTACATAAGCGTGCGGTGGGATCTTCGCGCGGACGCATCGAAGTAATCCAATCCGACACGTCGTAAATTGCCCGCACCCTCCCACCTTAGCCGCATTTCCCTTCCGCGCTACTATGCAAAATTTATTAGCAGGGTGTGCCTATATAAGTACACAGATCGGGAACCACTTTTTCCTGATTGATTAAACACGTCTCACGAAACCTAGTCGCGTTGTGTTCACTTCAGTATCAGCCCATTCAGGAGGAAAATTTAATAACGAGATCTATCTACAAATTAAATGCTATTATATTGGTTTAATAATTTATTAATAACAAGACAGGCGCGAAAAAAGAGAAAAAAATAAGAGAAAGAGGGAGTATAATTCGTGATTACGCTGAGAACGGCCCGAACCGCGAACGAATCCTGTTTCGATAGAAAACCAATGAACCGTGCACGCATCCGATCGATCATGATACATTGATAGAAATCGATACCATAGTCAACACGAAACGATAGAAAAAGAATATAAAAAAGAGAATTGCTGTGCGGGCTTCAACGGCAATTATCCAATTACCGTGTTCGCATTAGCCACAGTTGTACCGTCTAATAATTGCACCTCATTGCGATAAAATGTAAAGCAATTTTACCAGTATGGTGGCCATTATCGATCGAGCCGATCGAAAATTAAATTAATTTAAAATAAAAAAACTCCTAATAATTATATCTATATATTTAATGTATATATTCAAATTAAAACATTGTTCTTTTGGATTTTTAACCAGATATGCAATATATATAAATCCTTATATATTTAGTTCTGAAGAATTTTGTTCCATCATTTGAAAGATAGTTACGTAGAGAATAAAAAAATCGATGCTATAGGTGGTGATTTTCATACCAAATACGGTTTCCGGTCGGCTCGTTGCATAACGTATTCAATGGCTACAGCAATTACAGCGGTTATTTGACGCGAAGCGCAGCTAAATTCGCCCGTAAAATTCTGACCTTGAGAATTACGATGGAACATACGTTTATCTCCCCAGTGCTGCCGATGGAAACTCATCCCGAACGGCGATTTTGCTTGGTTCAGACAGAACATTTGCATTGCGAACAACTGCACGCCCGCGCGTAAACTAAACTAAATGTATATGAAGCAAAATTACGAACCAAGTGTGTAACACTTACAGGAAGATTCCTGAGTCCAAGCCGCACCTTCGAGTATCTCTTCATAAAAACCCGCCAGAGCACATAAGCCATGACGATTATCCAATTTTTGGTTCTCTTGGGAGGTTAACTTCAAAATTCTTCCGTCACTTTTTACACTTTGTCACTTTTTGGCGTAAAAATTTCACAACTTAATTCAGTCAGCATTCGAATTCATAACCGTCACTTCATACCGTGATCGTTTGATTAAAATTTCCATCTCCACATCTCGATTTCAAGCAATCGAGAAATACGTTGACGCGAACACGTTGCGCAGTAAAAACTCGATATCGAATTCGTTCTATAACGTTACTTTCCCGCCTAAATCGAGTCTATGATCTCTTAATAATGATATAATATTTGCTTTGAACACGATTTTCGTGATAGCACAATGAAAAGAGTACAAAAAAATAAAGGCACGTGTTTCATATGCGTTAATAAGAGGAAACAACACACTTCGCGTACAAATCGAAGCAACAAACCTCAAACTTCATACCGTTCGATAATTCACGAAATGGATTAGATAAATCACCGTTCACTTTAAAAGAAATAATATTTTTTCAGTCGAACGTTTTCGATATTTCACAATTTTGTGTTTAAAACGAACATAACCATGTAACACATTTTTATAAGATATTTATCGATATCATGTCATAACACATCGTTCATTTCGTGATGGCTTTCAATACACAATTCACGTTTTCAATGGATATCACAAGAAGTGAATGAACGCAAACCAAGCATTGACACGAGAGAATAAAACGTCCAAACTTGGTAATCTTCGAATTGACATGATGTTGCATAATTCATTATAATGTCTCGATCGTAATTGCGTCCGGTCATGCACGCCACCGATACTACCGACACGTGGTATATTCAATAAACATCAAGTCCAGTTCATTTGATCGATTGAAATCACTGCAGTATATGATATAAAATAACATGTATAATCGTACCGCATACAATTTAACTACATATCAAACAATCACGTGTCAGATCCTGTACTTAACCTTGAAATTCTTCGTTTTTGCAAAGGAAGATTCATACTCGATTATCCGCGAAAATGAATCGACTGCACCCGATATCATGATAAATGTCATCACATCAGAATCCAAGGAAACGACTGTCATGATTTAATCGATTAGGCAATAAAATTTTCTGTAAACGATATAAACATTCTCGAAATTACTCTGAAAGAGATTACTTCAAGATGAAATCACAGATGAATTCGTTGACAAATTCGTTCGATAATAGGATCTTTACGGTTATTGAAACTTTGTCGTATGTTTTTGCTATTATTAATACATCAAGATACACGAGGATTTTGAACGAACAACGCGCATCGAAATACCCGTATGCCTGACGGCTCTCGCTGCCGAGATATAACTGACACGACACACGCAACTGCCTACTCTCGCGCTCGAACTGTGGAACGATGAAACGGGACGTCCGGAACGCCGGAACTGCGGAACGATATATACCTGAATCGCGTTTCAGCGCAACTTTAGGCGTGCCTTAACCAACACCACATTTAAGAATAAAGAATATGCTTCAGGAGTCTACTAAAATCTAGTGAGTTAAACTATATTATCATGATACTTTTTAATTTTATTTTATATGTAATTTGATATTGATTCATTTCAAATATTTAAGATTGATATTGCATTGATAGTACATATTTTTAAAATATTAATATAAATTTAGAAATATAAATATATTATAAAATTGAACATATAATGAATGAATTGAATCAATAAAGTGTAATTAGAATAATTTTCCTTATAAATATCCATTTTCTAGAATAAGATATCAATCCATTTCAAGAGAAGAGAACCCATGGCTCTATAAGACAGCATTAATAGCTTTTTGTCACGCGAAAGTCTCGACAAAATGCAAGTTATAATATTGATATCTTTTCAAGACAAATAGACGATAAACAATATTTATTTTACTTATATATATCATTTATTTATGTTTATCATTTAATTATAATATTACACGATTAATTAAAAAAATACAGTGATTCATACATATATATTATATGATATTCTATTTATCAATATACTTATTTAAATTAATTTCTCTGAAAACGATCTTTATTTCCGCCAATGATGTCAAAGGATGTGAGGAAAGTCGAAGAAGAAATTGAAGAAATGACCGTTTAAAAAGCAATATAACACGAGCTGGTAGTAATGGAAGAAAGAGTTAAAACGATTCAGCGTGTCTCACAGCGCAGCCAAAACAAACAGAGCTAAACAAGCGGAAGGCTCGATGCCCCCGCTCCACACGTGCCCTATCCTGTTTACATTCGTTTGTTTTCACTTCAATGCTGGCCAACTCGACTTCCATTCGCTGCTGTACATTACGCGACAGCATTACCATCCCTATACCTTACATCCGGGCCGTTTGATTTATCAACCGATAAAACGTTTTCAAGGCACTCTCGTTAACGAGATCTAATCGCCGATACAATTAGTTCGGATAAAAATGCGCCCATTATTGACTTTCGCAATGGCTATCTCGATTCTCGTTACAGCATCGACGTTTTTTATTTAGCGTAACCGGCATTAAAATACGAACATTTCCGACTACTAATAAGTTTCGAAAATAGAAAAAAAAAAAAAAAGAAGTAAAAAAAGATTAATGATAAATTTT